AACTTGCTGATTCACAGCACAGTGCTCCTCAGGGTCAGGACTCCTGTTTTCCAGAGAACAGGAGGAAAGGGACTAGGGTACATTTGTAAGCTAGAGATATGGGTCCCAGGAAAAGGCCAAATTAGTCTGCATATTGCTCATGATTCAGAAGAAGGAAAACTTAATCACATTAACAGTCACAGGGGCATCAATCAAATCTTGTGTTGAGCATGGCTTTAAATCCAGTGATTTCAGCCACCAATATTTATTGAGTCTTTTCTAGAGGCAGGTACTGTGCTAATAACTGGGCACATAATGGAGAACAAAACCTGGCAAGTCTTTTAACCCCATCCCAGTGACCAAAGTAGTTAATCTTGCACTTTCCCTGCTGCAGCCACTTGAATCAACCATCTCTCTAAGCCTTGGAGAATGACATTTGGAAATCAAGAGATTCTCATTGGTTATTAGGATGCCATTGCTTAGAATCCTCTCAGTGGGCAGAGTTACACCTACTTCTATACCAATTTGCATATATGTATTTAAAAACCATGAGTTTATACTGATACATCCAATTCCAGTGGAACTCCACAGGATTCATGAGAGTTCTCCCTCTTTCCTTGTTTATAACTCCTTTCTCCAGCAGTAACCAACCTGGCTCTCTTTGTCTATGGTATATTAACTTATTTGCTCAATCCCAAAGCACACATAAGTAGTTTCAAAATTGCCAAATATGCCCCTGTGAAAAATGAACCTAGTAACTAGAGCACAATATTTGTGTATAGTTCCTTTTGTGTTTAGTCTTAGAATACAAAGTCAATACTTATTTTTTCAATAATATTTAAGTCAATTCATACTCCTGTTAAAAATCTACTAACTAGAGTATAATGTTTCTGTACAGTTCTTTTTTTTTGTTTTTTTTAGCCTTAAAATACATAGCTAGTGGTTGCTAGAGGAGAGGGGGATTGGAGAACTAGATGAAAGGGGTGAAGGGACTAAGAAGTACAAATTGGTAGTTACAAAACAGTCACAGGGATTCAAAGTACAGCCTAGGGATTATAGTGAAAAATATTGTAGTAACTATGGTGCCCGGTGGGTGTTAGAAATATCAGGGGGAACACTTTGTAAAGTATATGATTTCTCTAGCTACTATGCTATATATCTGAAACCAATACAAAATAATATTGAAAGTAAACTGTAATTGAAAAAAAAAAGCACATATAGGGTGGGCCAAGGCACACACACACACACACACACACACAGACCATACAAGGTGGGGCAAGATATATATGTATACCTTGTATTTATGTGTGTGTGTGTATATATATACATACATATCTACACACATATATAGTGGACTTATACATAATTTAAAATATTTTGAAATAATATGCACACAAAAGCAGTCCATTAGGAAATGCTACCTCTCTATCTGTCTTCCCTAGGTTGGAGAACAATAAAGTGGATGTTTGCCACTGACTTGCTTGCTAATCCTAAAACCAGCCAGGCTCTTCCATGAAGAAGTAAACGTTGAAGATGAGTATGAATATTCAGAAAGTTGGATGCAGAAAATTAGCAAATGTCATGGTGTAAAAATATTTGATAATCTGTGGTGAAAAAGCTGTTGATCACGAAGCAGCTGAGAATTACATGTATAAATTTGCTAAGATTACATCTGATGAAATCCTTAATCCTTAACAAATTTGCAAATGCCAATGAAACAGCTCTATACTGGCACTGTATCTAGAAAAACCTTAGTTATGGCTGGTAAGAGAACCCTAGTGCAGTGGTTCTCAACCTTCTGGCCCTTTAAATACAGTTCCTCATGTTGTGACCCAACCATAAAATTATTTTCGTTGCTACTTCATAACTGTAACGTTGCTACTGTTATGAATCGTAATGTAAATATCAGATATGCAGGATGGTCTTAGGCGACCCTTGTGAAAGGGTCATTCGACTGCCAAAGGGGTCGCGACCCACAGGTTGAGAACTGTTGCCCTAGAGGGTTTTGACACTGAGTCCAGGGTGACTGTTTTTATTTTCATTTTATTTTTAAAATCATTTTTAATTTTTCAATTAGTTGACATGCAATACTATATTAGTTTCAGGTGTACACTCCAGTGATTAGATAACATATAACTTACTAAGTGATGAGGTGGCTGTTTTTAGATGTGTCAGTTCTACGGGAAAGATTAAATAGGTAGTGATTGGGAAGAGCAAACTTCCAGGAAGTTTAACTGATGTATGTAATGTACCTGTCATTACTGTGCAACAGGAAACTTATTCAGTACATACTTTTCACCTATGGATGGAGTTCACGGCAGGCAACCTGGACTAGACAAAATTATAGAATTATACTGTTCATGTACAGTGCTCCATACACCCCTGTCCTGAACTTCTGGGGGAAAAGAATGTTTTTGGCATTTAAGTTTCCCTTCAATATCGCATCTGTAATCCAGCCTTGTTGGTCAAGAAATTTTACACTCCATGGAGGGCAAGCATAAATCCCAACCCCCTTTTGTTTTGTCCTTTGATTGCATGCTTGTTGAGGTTCACAGTTGCCTAGGAATCCCCAATATACTAAAAGAGTTGAGTCTTAGGGATGTTATTTCTGCAGTAGTTAATACTTAGAACAATGTTGACACAAAATGCAGATGCTATCTGTCTTGACAATGTAAACACAAACTACAGAGTTTATGAGTGGACTTTGGGTGGGAAAGAAAAAGTGAAAGGAAGGCCAAGGTTGCTAATCCATTTACCTTAAAAGTTGCTTAAGAGCTAGTATCAATATTTGATGAATAAAAAAATAAAGGATGAAATGCAGTGTTTAAATGCAAGGTCAGTCAACAATTAAAGAAAAGCATAATGACATGAGTGTATTTGGGGGAAGGGGAATTGGGGTGGTGTGAATTGATACTTAACTGTCTGTAGTTGGTTAACTTAGAATTAAATGTGCAATATTAAAAGAATCAAAGACACTGAAGCACAATAATAAAATGCAGTAGTCCCCACCCATGCTCGCCTCTCTCCCAGGTTCCCTCTCAACCTTGAGAAACTATATGCATATTGTTTTTTTTTATGGTAATCTAGAATTATAATTAAAATGAGTTTAAAAAATTAAAATTTGGAACAAAGGTTCAATATTAAGGGAAAAGAGAGTTACTAAATCATTTCACATATGAAGCATATTATTTTATAATGTACTTTTACACCCCTTATGTCATTGGTCCTCATGGAGATTATGTGAGTTTGGCAGCTTTCACATTATCAGGTTATTTCAAAGGTAGGAAAACCAAATACAAAGAAGTGACTAATCTGC